TTCCTCCTGAGGGAGAGTGGGAGAACCGGATTCAGGCGGTTCTCCTTTCGGCAAGGGTACCACAGAAGTGATGTGCATTGCCCCGGAGGGACAGATGTTCGTGTCTCACATGGCTGCTGATGTTACCTGGGATCGGTTGGTTAAGGTGGTGTTTGACAGGTTTCTCCTTGGGATCTCATGGCCAGAAATCACTTCAAAGGCTCCTCCCAGTGAACTATGTCCCTCAGATAACTTTTCTCTGCCACCAGAGCCTGGATTAAAGTTCTTTAAACTATGTTTGCACAGCCCTTGGAAGAAACCAACCCTGTTGACACCTTGATCCTGAACTTCTGGCTTCCAGAACTATAAGACAATAAATTTCTCTTGTTTTAGCCAAAACAAGCAACAACAACAAAACTGTGCTTGCTGTGATGTATGTGTAAACTATTCAACTGTAACCTGAATGGTGAGGGCCTCTGGAACCAGACAACACAATGCTCAAGCCAGGGCCAGCTGGGCTGCTTGTTTAAGTCCTTCCTCGTGTCATCAGCAAAAGAATCCTGCAAAATCAAGTCCCTGACAGAGCCTCGTGTCATCAGCAAAAGAATCCTGCAAAATCAAGTCTGAACTCAACAATAAAAATACAACTCAATTAAAAAGGTACAAATGATATGAACTGACCCCTCACCAAAGAAGATATATAGGTAGCAAATAAGCATCTGAAAATACATTCAACAGCATATATCATCACAGAATTGCAGATTAAAACAAAAATGGTATACCACTATACACATATTACAGTGACCTAAATCTGGAACACGGACAACACGAAATGGCAGTGAGGATGTGGAGCAAGAGGAACTCCCATTCGTGGCTGGTGGGAATGCAAAGTGGTGCAGCCGCGTTGGGGACAGTTCTGCAGCTTCTTACAAACTAAATATATTCTTACTGTGGGTCCAGCAACTGTGCTCCTTAGTATTTACACAAACAAGTTGAAAGCTTACATACACACAAAAACCTGCACACAGATGTTTATAGCAGCTTTATTCATAATTGCCCAAACCAGGAAACAACCAAGATGTCCTTCAATAAGTGAATGAATAAACCAAGTGTGGTACATCCATACAATGTAATTTTATTCAGCGCTTGAAAGAAATGAGCTATTAAGTCATGAAAAGACATGGAGGAACCTAAAATATGTATTGCTAAGTGAGAGAAGCCAATCTTAAAAGGTTACATATTATACGATTCCAACTATATGATATTTTGGAAAAAGGTAAAGCTATGGCAACAGTAAAAAGATCAGTGGTTGCCAGGGGTAGGTGGGGTGGGTTGTGTGTGTGCGTGCGTGTGTGTGTGTGGAAGAGGAGGACAGGAAAAGAGACATGAGTAGGTGAAGCCCAGAGGATTTTTTAGGGCAGGGAAACTATTTTGTATGATACTGTAATGGTACATACGTATCATTATACATTTGTCAAAACCCACAGAATGTGCAACACAAAGATGAACCTTAATGTAAACTATAGACTTTAGTTAATGCTGCATCAATATCGGATCATCAATTTTAACAAATTTTAGTACACTAATGCAAGATACTAGTAATAGGGGAAAGAGGAAAAGAGGTAAGGAAGTATATAGGAACTCTGTATATTTCCTGCTCAACTTTTTATAAACCTAAAACTGATTTTTTAAAAAGTTAAATTATATTCTAAAAAAATCAAGTCTAACCCTTTCCCATCCTTTCTAACCCTTTCCATGCCTGTGTAGTCCAGTCTGAAGTGGAGTGGTTACTCCGAGGGAATCTGACCAATGAGGTCGATAAGGACAGTCGGAGTGTAAGAAGTGATAGGGGCCATTTTCATTTACTGATAAGGAAACTGAGGCCCACAGAAGGGACATGACTGACCCGTGGACACACAGTGAATGCCCCAAGTGAACCAGAGTCCATGTCTCCTGCCGAACTCTCCTACCCATGCCAGGTTCAGCCCCTTTGCCAAAGTATCAAGATCTTGCTCAATTTATTGCCATTCTTCTTCTCTGGCTATCAATAAGGGGTTTATATACTAAACTCATATCTGAAGTGAATCCTTCCAAAGGTACACTATGTTTATATATTCAAACATCCTAATTCTGGATTCTCCTGTCTTGCTAACTACACAAGTAAAATGAGCAATTCTTTTTTAAAAATATGTTTTTATTGATTTCAGAGAGGAAGGGAGAGGGAGAGAGAGAGATAGGAACATCAATGATGAGAGAGAATCATTGATTGGCTGCCTCCTGCACGCCCCACACTGGGGAATAAGCCCACAATCGGGTATGTTCCCTGACCAGGAATTGAACGGTGACCTCCTGGTTCATAGGTCAATGCTCAACCACTGAGCCACGCAGGTTGGGCTAAAATGAACAATTCTATGCAATTGTGTAATTGAAAAAGTTCTCTTTGCCGTCCCCCTCAGGCACCGAAGTATATTTTTTATCTATGAAGATTACTTTGCATTAAAATAAAGTTCAAATAATGGTTATGTTTACAAAGAAGTGGCATCCTAATGAATCTACTTACTTTAAGCAAATCATCTATTTCAATAGTGTTTTGTTCCTAAGTCACTTGAACTAAAAAAAGGTATTTTTTCCCCCACTGTTAACTCTGGTGCACACTTCATTTTTAGTTGCTAATATGACAAAATAGGCTACTTACTGCCTCTGCGTGGATTGATGTGGTATTTTATTAAAATCTCTCACTATTATGCCCTACTGTCCAGCCACACCACATACCTTTCACTTGTCTCTCTTTCACTCCAGCTTGCCTCCTCTTTGACCTCATTCCAGGCTCTAGTCCCTGAACTTCATTTTTCCAGGGCTTTTATTTCTCCCTCTTCATCTAGCCTGGATATCATGCCCTCTCTCATTCCTCTGCTATATCTACCTGGCCAATGAATCTGGGGTCTCTTTTTCCTTTCTTTTTCTTATTAAAAATAAAAGTCTCCCCAGCGTCATTGAGATATAATTGACATACCATTGTGTAAGTTTGAGGTGTACAACATGTTGATTTGATACACTTACATATCATAAAATGATTGCGACTGTTAGCTAACACTTCTATCTCCTAATTACCACTTCTTTTTTATGGTGAGAACATTTCAGATTTACTCTCTTAGCAACTTTCAAGCACAAAATAAAGTATTATTAACTATAATCACCAGGCTGTATATTAAATCTCGAGAATGTATTCATCTTATAATTGGAAGCTTGTATCCTTTGTCCAACATCTCCCCATTTTCCCCTCCCCCAGCCACTGGTAACCACCCCTCTATTCTCTGTTTCTGAGTTCGGTCTTTTAGATTCCACATATAAGTGAGATCATACAGTATTTGTCTTTGTCTGTATGATTTCACTTAGCATAATGCCCCCGAGGTTCATCTATGTTGTTGAAAACGGCAGTTTCCTTCTTTCTCATGGCTGCGTAATATTAAAAATCTGTATCCATTCATTCATTAAGGGACACTTAGGTTGTTTCCATATCTTGGCTATTGTAAATAATGCTGCAATGAAACTGGGGGTGCAGGTATCTCTTTGAGATCTTGTTTTCATTTCCTTAGGCTACACGCCCAGAAGTAGGATTGTTGAAACATATGGTAGTTCTACATAGGTTGTCACTACAAAATATGGCTTTTAATTTCTATATATATGGATTTCAGAGAGGAAGGGAGAGGGAGAGATAGAAACATCAATGATGAGAGAGAATCATTGATCAGCTGCCTCCTGCATGCCCCACACTGGGGATTGAGCTCGCAACCCAGGCATGTGCCCTGACCAGGAATCGAACCGTGACCTCCTGGTTCATAGGTTGATGCTCAACCACTGAGCCACACTGGCTGGGCATCCTCCATCTATTTTTGTCTTGGTCATTGTCCTCTCCTGTCCCCCTTATCGGGTATTTAAATTCTTTATTACTGTCTTCAGCCTGAGACCCCATTCACTACTCATTTTCTCATCGGGTAGACAAACACTGTAAAATACTCACCTGCTCTCCCCTTCTCCTTCATGCAAACCCTCCTCTTGTGGCCTCAGAGAGGAAGGTGTTCTTCCTCCCATCCCACCCAAACCCAGTTCCTCTTCCTGGGGGCTTAGAACTGCTCCTCTCGTCCCATCTTCTCCAAGACCTTCTCCCATTAATGACTCCTGCTCTCTTCCCGGCATCTTCTCTCTGCCAGCTGTTTTTGTTTGTTTTGCCCCCCCCCCCCCCTCAGCTTCTAAACCTGTAAATTCTTTCCCCTCTCCTTTGGAAAAACACCATTCAAAAACCCTTCTTCTTCTAGCTTTGGCCCAATACCTCTCCTTCCCATCTCCATCATACTTCTCAAAATTTCACGTCCCCCTTTTCCTAATTTCCCTTTCACTTTCTAGCTCAGTCTCATCTAGTTCTGCTGCATTTCCATTGGCTAAGATCACTAGTTTTCCTAATTCTTAGAGTCAGTTTTATCTGATCTTTCCTCTCTGTGGTTTAGCAATTGGATCAATATTGACTTGCTCCTACATTGCATTAAAAGGGTATTTGGCCAAGGAACCAAAACCCTAGGGGGAAGGCATTCTTTCTTGCATCCCATTCAGACCTAGTTCCTCTTCCTGGGGGCTTGGAACTGCTCCTCTACTCCCATCTTCTCCAAGACCTTCTTCCATAATGACTCCTGCTCTCTTCCCTGCATATTCTCTCTGCCGGCAGAGAGATAAAAGATAAAAGGCTGAACTAAGACAGCTAATAGTGGAGATAGCCACTCGGTGAGAAATCTTAGGTAAAATTGACAGAATTGTTGAATTAGGAAGAAGAGAAAGGATTTGTGGATAACCTCTGAGTTTCTAGCTTGGGAGACAAGAGGTATGGTGTCTTCATATTATTGGAAAGAGTCTATAAGAAGAAAAAACTGGGTGGGGGAATAGAAAAAAAGTTTCCAAAGTTCTGCTCGTGATTAATTTAGCTTGGAAAAAAGAGAAACACATATAAAGTAAATTTGTTGAGCTGTAGATATTGGGAGAATATTTTAATTTAGAATATACATGGAATTAGAGATAACTTTATACAGCTCATGAAGTCTTGCAGAAAAAAATGTCTTTGAGATCTAGTTAAAAGATAAAACAGTTGAACTAATAACAATTAGATCTTCATTTCTCCAAGAAGGTTTTAGAATTAAATGAACGTAATATAGAGGAATCCGAATCTCTGACTGTTCCTAGCATAAACTCAGCGTAGATTGTCCAGTGGGAGTTGGACAACTGACTTAGAAGTGGTTGATGAATGCCTTGGGGTGGGAGGTAGTGAACAGGATCAAAGAATGAGAAGTGGATCATAAGTGGAATTACTGCTAATCCGATCGTTAAAAGACATGTTGATTCAGACGAATCTGAAAAAGAGACTAAAACCAAACATTCAGAAATGTAGGAATGATTATATTTATTCTTTAAAAAATACACACAGAATCTAAGGAATGCCTTGCTTTACAACAGCTGCTCAGTTTATTTCGTGTCCTACTGTATATCTAACACAATAAAGCCCAATCTAGAGATATTTTTTTAAACAAGGATCAACAACACTTTTCCTTAAAAAAATAAGACAACTTTATTGCAGCATCACTACTATATATAGCTGAATTTTTCACATCAAGTTGGTTTAGTTCTTTGAAGAAAGTCTTAATAACTAAAACTGTACAAATCATAGGGCAAGATAACTAGTCTAACAAATTTAATAAAAAATATTTCAGAACAACTACAATATAGCTTTAGACTATACTAAAACTGTCTTAGATAATTATTTACAACTTTATTATAGTATAAAAACTCTAAACTTTAAAATAAATCTGTGGATTTTATACAAAAATACTCTAAAGTACAAATATAAATTAAATGTTGAATAAAACATTCACCAGGTCCAGTGGAAGTTATTAAGAATATATTCTAGGGTGGTAAAATGTAAAGTGGTAACCCAAAACAGTGTTTCCTTAATCATTCACAATTTTAAATATTTTAGTAGTAATCACGAAGTTTAGAGTTTCATTGTATAATTTTCATTTTTACAATTACAAAATATACAATTTCCTTCATAGACTACTTCTCTTTAGCTCACTAAAAAGTCAAGAAAATAATAAAGATTTGTTAGTCAAAAGTTGACATGCTATGTACAGTATATAAATTGTAAAATTTTCAAAATCTCTTAGCTGATTCCCTTTAAAAAGGAAACAGGTTTTACATAAGAAAAGACAACCCATACAGCCACAGGGTTATCTAATCAACCTAATAACAATGTTCTCACATGTGAGAAAAATATTAAGTACCAAAATCTTCTTTAAAATAAGCCACTGTTTTATGAATAATTATGAATGGAACAAAATTTTACATTTAAGTAATTTTGTATAAAATGTATTTGGATTAGTATAAGAAGCATTTTGCCAGGAGGTACCATTTTGTTGTGTAAAAAATAAGCATGCCTCTCACTTAATACTTTCCCTAAAATGCTACAAATGACATTTTAAAACAATGCTGACATTACTTACAGTTCTGTTTTTACCTTGAGGTACTAATTTTACATTTGGCCAGATGTTCATAAAAATTAAAGGGGAGATATATGACCTAGTAATATACCAATTTAAATTTTCTGAGACATTGTGTAAAATGTCATTAAAACATACGTATTCTAGTTACCAACCACATTCTTACAGAGAAAATGCACATTAAAATTATTACCCTACAAACAATTTGGACTTTAGTTTCCGCTTCGGTTCCTTTCCATTCTGTTCAGTAGAGTTATATGCATGGCCTTTTTGAATAATTAAACATGGATACCAGAATAGCAACTGAACAAATACGTAAGACTTGTACTTGGGAAGAGAGTAAAATACTGACACTGGGAAAATTTTAAATGGCTCATTTTTCCTAACATGTTAGTGCAAATTAGCAAACTTTTCAGAAGAATTTAGTCATGGAAGGAAGGAAGCATAATCTCATCTTCATTCACTCCTTGTTCATATCGGACTGAAGAGAAGCCTGCCCAGTGCATACGGTTCCTTTGGAAGAGGAACCAAATCAGTCCGATGATGAGAACTAAGATGCTTAGCACGATGAATGCAATAGTTATTCCTCTGTAATTGGGGCCTAGAGCAGGGAAAGGTTTGACATTGGAGGAGAGAATATAAAAGCGATCATTACTAATTTTATGCATTTGGCTGTGTGTCACATAAGCAAACCTTGTACAGATTAGATACAAGTACTTGATTGTTTCAGAGCATGAACACAGAATTCAAAATCACCACCAAACACTTAAGTGCTTTCCCCCCAAATTTAACTATTTTCCTTTTCATTCAAATCCTTTTCATTAGAATAGCAATATTCTTACAAAGAAATTAAAGCTTCAATGTCTCCTACTCTTAGACATCTTCCCTGATAACCCAACCTAGAGTAGCTATCTCTCTAGTCTCAATCACGTAGTTTATAACAATTTGATATTTTCCTCTCTTCTAAATATGAACTGGCTTGGTTACTTATTATCTGTCTTCCTCCACTAGATTATGGAGGAAGAAAAGGTATCTCATTTGTTTTGTTCCCAGGTGCACCCCAGCACATAGAACAGGGCATGATGTAGAGTAAAGACTCAAAATATCTGCTGAGCCCTAGCTGGTTTGGCTCAGCGGATAGAGCGTCAACCTGTGGACTGAAGGGTCCCGGGTTCGATTCTGGTCAAGGGCACATGCCTGGGTTGCGGGCTCGATCCTCAGTAGGGGGTGTGTAGGAGGCATCCGATCAATGATACTCTCTCATCATTGATGTTTCTATCTCTCTTTCCCTCTCCCTTCTTCTCTAAAATCAATAAAAATATATTTAAAAAAATATCTGCTGAATCAGTGAGTGATTATACAGATACTGATGGACACCTTTATGCTAGATCTTTAAAAATGCTGCTGTGAAATAGTTTAGAGCTCTTTGGCTAGAAATTAAGATTTTTATGGTTATTTAATATATATCAACTCATGCTGAAACTTAAGTTCAAAATGTGACTTCTTACAGATATCCAAGTAATTCCAATTAATCAAATCAAGTTTTGGAATGCTGTTAAGGTAATCATGAGTTTTAAGGGACTGAGGAAAAAGGAAGCAAACTGCAGAATGAAATCTTTGAGCTTTTAAATATTTAAACTATAGAATAAAATACATCTTAAGAACATTTTCAAAGAAGTGACCTATCTAATATGCTGGCAGCTTCCATCTTTCTTAGGAAAGAATTGTATAAGATTTAGACTTTTAGTCATTTCCTCTGGAGTCCTAGGCATCTGGTATATTTATCATCTTTGGTAATTGAGTTTTCTGAGGGAAAGAATCTCTATGACTTAAGATTTTTTTAATACACTGTAAGGACCAAATGCTTTAGGACCTAGTACAATGCTTTGCATGTTATTAAATTGTACATTTATTTTCTAACCTGTTCTGCAAAAATGTTTTTCTTAAGGACAGGTTACATACTTACCCAGAGGAACTTTGCAGACAACTCTTCCATAGCCATGTGAACAGTCAACTTTTATCCAAGTTTCATTTGAAGCTAACAAAATGCTACATTTTCCACCACTGCTCTTATGTTTATTTGCCCATTTGACAAATTTCACTTTTGATTCATCTAACCAATTCCAAGATTTATCTAAAGAAGGAAATTAAATACAACTATGTTTATTGCCATTAAATTACTTAAGTAAAAAGGCTTGCAGTTCATACAATGTCATGCCACTACTTAAAATGAAATTTATTAAAAGTGAAAAAATTTAAATCTCAGTCCATCAGTCACACTTGTCACATTTTAAGTGCCCAACAGCTATATGTGGCTAGTGACTACTATATTGGACAGAGCAGATGCAGAAAGTTCTATTAGACAACACGGATATAGTATGTAGTGTTTTGACTAAAGGGCAGGATTCTTGCACATTTATTGTGTGACAGTAGATTTCTACAAACCTTTATCTCCCTCCCTCGCTTACCCCTAGTTAAAAAACTCATTATTAAAAGTATGTTGGTGGGGAAGGAAGGGTCCACCTTAACTCCATCTTTATTTCCAGCTGAGGCAGCGCCGCCTTGTGGTGATAAACACAATTTACAATTCCTAAATAGTCAACTTTGAATCCATTCTTTTTTTAGTTTTAATTTTTATTATCCCCCCAATCAATATATGGTCTTTATTGCATCTTTAAAATATCACAAATAATTCTGAGGAATAATTTGGCATCTTTCTGTTTCTATAGCTGGACAACTTAGATCATATTCATCAGCCTGCTGAACTGTTTTGTTTTCAGAAAAATAGATACCATCAAAAAATTTTCTGATCTCTGTGTTTTTAACTATTGTGGCTTGCTGAATCAAAGCAGCTAATGTGATACAAATTCAATGTCATTTCCTTCAAGAATTAAATCTTTCTGGGTTTGAGATACTGAAAAAGCAATACCTGATCTCATCTGAACCCTGAGAATTATTTTTTGCCCAAGAAATTTCTGACCTCAACAAGAGAACCACTATCCTAAATAACTGCATTGATGGGGAAGTGAGGGTACACAGACCTCATCTTGTAACGGAATCCCAGTGTAATTAACACCTTCATCATGTTCTGTACATGATTTCAGATGGTGCTAATGGTGGCCAATTCCTTTCTGTTTTCCCACCATTTGTCAACCCAAAGCAGTGGTCGGCAAACTGTGGCTTGGCAAACCGCGGCTCGTGAGCCACATGCGGCTCTTTGGCCCCTTCAGTGTGGCTCTTCCACAAAATACCGGCTCTTCCACAAAATACCGAATACCGACTTCTGCACATGGGCCATGAAGTTTCAATCGCACTGTACGTGTGCGCCCGCACGTGGTATTTTGTGGAAGAGCCACACTGAAGGGGCCAAAGAGCCACATGTGGCTCGCGAGCTGCGGTTTGCCGACCATGGACCCAGAGCCTCTTCTTCTTCCCAGGGAGACTGAGTTCGACATTGATGTGACAGAAGTCCCTCCGCAGGGTGCCTCCGGGGCCCTTCGCAACAACTGTGTGTCCTTCAGAGTGATGTCGACGTTATCTGAGATGTTGACAGTCTGACTGCTCAGAATGGACTTCATAGTCACAGTAGATGCGGCAAAGAGTTTGAGTTTTTAATTTTTTAACTAATTATTTATTTTTAAATTGAATTTATTGGGATGACATTGGTTTACAAAATTATATAGGTTTCAAGTGTACTTTGCCACAAAACATCAACTGTACACTGCCCCAAAGCCTCTTTTGACAAGTGCTTAACATTTTGGAATTCACATTTCAAATATTTAGAATTAAACTTTGTATAAAATATGAAACAGACTTCTTATTAGTCTATTGAATATGTACCCTGAATTCACTTATTATCACTTTCAAGTTCACTCAAACCCTGCGTCTGTTATTCTTTATTGAAATACTAGAGGCCCGGTGCACAACATTTGTGCACTCAGGGGGGGAGGGGTCCCTCAGCCCGGCCTGCACCCTCTCGCAGTCTGGGACCCCTTGGGGGATGTCCACCTGCTGGCTTAGGCCTGATCCTAATGTTCAGACATCCCCCAAGGGGTCTTTAGCGCTGCCATGGAGGCGGGAGAGGCTCTGCCACCGCTGCTGCGCTCGCCAGTGGTGAGCCCTGCTTCTGACTGAGCAGTGTTCCCCCTGTGGGAGTGCACTGACCACCAGGGGGAGCTCCTGCGTTGAGCGTCTGACCCCTGGTGGTCAGTGCACATCATAGCGACCAGTCGTTCTGCCATTCGGTTGATTTGCATATTAGGGTTTTATTATATAGTATTCTCCCACAGATCTTTTTGAATCAATTCTTTGCAATTTTACTAAGTTATTTTGAAAAAACAAATCACTATGAAGATGTAATTTTTCTCTATGATAAAAATGTTCCAAGAGGGAGGGAAAGAACAAGAAAAGAACTTTCTGAATAACAGAGTTATAAGCTGGGAAAACTTGGGGTGATAGACATGAGAACTCTAAGGGAAGTAAGTGATGCGCTCCTTGTACGGGCATGGGGAACACAGATATTGCTGTAGAAAAAAAATCTATCCTATTCGTCCAAGTATCTTAAACTTCTAACAATTCCAGTTGGTTTCAACTGATTTTGTATTGCATCAGTGTTTCCCATCACTACTAATAAGTCATTCACTTCTTCATTAGGAATTTATAAGCCTTGAAAACAGCCAGCAGACCTAGCTTACTCATCAATAAGAAACATCTGAATTAAATACTATTTGACATTCTTTAGCAAGGCTGACTTGGTATTTAGGACAAGTTAGAGCTCTCTTTGCATATTGCACACACAAAGATGTCACTTACCGGAAGGATGCTGAGATAATCCAAGCCAAACTCTCATGGTAATGTTATTATTTTCCCTTATCAGTCTGCTCACGAATTTATTCTCATCTTCATCCTCTATGGTAACAAGAGTTGCAGAATGATCTGTTGAAGGAAAACAAACCCCTAACTAATTAGCGTTATGCAAACTAGGTTAGTGGTTTATTCTGAGCCTTTGAGAAAAGAAAAACTATCATGATCAAGATCACTGAGAAATTCAAACTTTACAGAGAATGTTTTTAAAATCTGATATTGGCATTAATAGCTTCCTAAAAAGTTAGAAATATTTCTAGATTGAAACTTTGCATAAAGAAATTTCATGTGTGTGTGTTTTATCTACTATGTTTACCTGGTAACCTTTTTAAATCTTGGAACTGCCTAACCAGTGAGACTTTTGTGTATGAACAGTTCATCCTAAGAAGTGGGGTACGTGATGGTAGAAAGGTATGTTTCCCTATAGATGTTCAGCACTCTCTCTTCAACAACAATGTTTGCATAAGTTTGCTTTTGTTAAAATGAAAATTAAAGCAAATATATTTGGGGTCTTGGGGAACATTAGCCTTCCATTTAACATTATTTTATACATATGTGCATTTGGTCATGCCCACTGTAAGTTCCTAAATATAGTATGGAACTGAAAGAGTGAGTATGCTTCAAGTTTGATAGTTTGCTCCAAACCCATAGAGAACATAGCATCAGGCAAGGAATAGAAATAAAATAATAACTAGACTTGGAAATCAATCCTAAATGGAATCAGATAGTCTTCAATAGCAACAAGCCTATCCACACTTAAACTTTTGTGGTAGGGTGTATTTAAAGGGCAAAGGAAAGCCTTTTCTCCATTATACATCCCACAGTACATAGGTACTTTATGTTACCGGGCTTATTATTACACTAGAGGCCCGGAGCATGAAATTCATGCACAGAGGCGGGGGGCAGGGGGTTTCCTTCAGCCCAGCCTGTACCCACTCCAATTGGGGAATGTGGGATCGGGCCTAAACCAGCGGTCGGACACCCCTCTCACAATCTGGGACCGCTGGCTCCAAACCACTCACCTGCCTGCCTGCCTGATTGCCTCTAACCCCTCTGCCTGCCTGCCTGCCTGATCGTCCCTAACCTCTCTGCCTGCCTGCCTGATTGCCCCTAACTGCCTCTGCCTGCTTGATCACCCCTAACTGTCCTCCCCTGCCGGCCTGATCTCACCCCCAACTGCCTCTGTCTGCCTGCCTGATCACCCCCAACTGCCCTCCCCTGCAGGCCTGATCACCCTTAACTGCCTCTGCCTGCCTGATAACCTGTAACTGCCCTCCTCTTCAGGCCTGATCTCACCCCCAACTACCCTCCTCTGCCAGCCAAGTTGGTTCTGATTGGTCAGTTTCTATGCCAGTCAGCATCAAAAGCTCTGCCTCCTAGGCAGCCATTGGCTCCTTACATTCACCCAAATTTGGTTTTGATTGGTCATTTTCTATGCCAGTCAGCATCTCTGGGCCTATCAAGGGGGCCTGATCAGTGCCCGGGTGGAGGCCTCGAGAGAAATGGAGGCTCGGCTATTGGCCTGGCTGGAGAGAAAGAGAGGCAAGTTCTGATCAACAGCTTCTACAGAGGCTTTGGATCAGACCCTGCCTCTCTCGCTGCAGGCCTCTCTCTGGGCCTGATCCGCAGTCCCCTAGGCAGTCAGTGCTGGTTCGGGGCGCCCACAGCGGCCCCAGTTAGTGCTAGGTCGCCACGGCAACCCAGCACTGACTTCTGGTCTGGTCAAGCCTTCCCTGTTAGGACCCTGGCTCTTTATTATGTTGATAATCCTATGGAGGAAGGCATTATTAGCATTTTACAGATGAGGAAGCTGAGGCTCAAGGAGAGCAAGTAAATTGGTTAGGTCTACACCAGGGGTCCTCAAACTTTTTAAACAGGGGGCCAGTTCACTGTCCCTCAGACTGTTGGAGGGCCGGACTATAGTTTAAAAAAAAACTATGAATAAATTCCTATGCACACTGCACATATCTTATTTTGAAGTAAAAAAACAAAACGGGAACAAATACAATATTTGTATTTGCATGTGGCCCGTGGGCCGTAGTTTGAGGACCCCTGGTCTACACAGCTAGTCAATTATAGAATTAGAAAGTCAATCTCAATCTTTCTAATGATAAGTTTTAAATTCTCACTATTTGCAGGGCACTATCCTACATTTACAAATATTACCTCATTTCATTCATTAATACAACAACCCAATCTTTACCCAAACTTTGAAGTAAGTACTACATTTGGCTTTTCAACAATGGATTTGAACTGTGAGGGTCAACTTATACAAGGAATTTTTTTCAATAAATATACAGTCGGCCCTCTGCATCCTCAGATTCAACCAACCTTGGGTTTTAAAAAACAGTATTTTCCATCTGCAGTTGGGAATCCGCTGATGCGGAGGGCCAACTGTATACATTGATCTATGCCATTTTGTATGAGGGTCTTGAGTATCTCAAGATTTTGGTATCTGTGGGGATGGGAGGTGGTTCTAAAACCAATCCCCACTGGATACTGAGGAATGACTGTATATTTTGGAAAATCAAAAGTTATACACATAGGGTCAGTGCCCCTAACCCACTCGTTGTTAAGGATCAACTGTATTTTTATTCTCACTCTTTTCAGGTGAAAAAGAGAAACAATTATGTAAGTTCCACAATACCACTCAGCTAGTAAGTGTGGGACTTGGATTTGAATCCAAACCTGTCTGCCTCCAAAACTTAAGTGTTTAACATGCACACGCACACTACAACAACAGTAACCCTTTCTATTTCCTCCTTTAGGAGCCAGAGACTTCTGACCTCCAGAGCATATATGCATATCTCACAATAGTTCCCATCACATATCTATCTATCTATCTATCTATCTATCTATCTATCTATCTATTATATATGCATGTGTGTATATGTCTGTATTATGTATATTAACACAGAACGGTTCCCACACAAAAGTTCCTATCATTTAGTTAAGCAGTAACATGGAGATTTAAAAATCTTCTATGTGTCTCTACAATTAGCAAAAAAATGAGATAGATACCATCTGCCTAGCTACACTGATACCCAAGAATACAAGTCTTCTAGAAGTTATGTCACAGTTTGACTACTGGCTAAATTTATCATGGGAGAGCTTCAATCATTGCTGCTTATCCTAAAGCAGTTCAATCTGAACACGAAAGTCCTATTCCTGCGGTGTTCAGATGATGTGAGCCACTGCTATTGCAGAATAGATGAACAAAACATGCTTTATGTTACCCTGGTCAGGCTAAGCTTATTTATTCATAACTAAATAATGAAAAAATCTACAATTTTGCATTTACTACTTAACCAACTTTGTAAAAAATTTACCTCTTAACCAGTAT